TCAATCCTCAGTGTGGGGCATGCAGGAGGCAGCACCATTATAAACTGATGAACAAAAATAGATACAGAGGCAGAGCAGCATAAAACAGACTGTCAAACTAGAGCGGGGTTGTCGGGGGAGGGTAAGAGATCAACTGAAGGACTTGTATGCATGCATATGAGCATAACCAATGGATACAAGACACTGGGGGGTAGGGAAGGCCGGGGAAAGGTCAAGGTGGGGGGAAGAAAAGGAGACATATGTAATACTCTTTGTAATACTTTAAGCAATAAAATGAAATTTTAAAAAAGAAGATTAAAAACATATCAAGCATCTTCTCAGATCACAATGGGATGAAACTAGAAATCAACTACAATAAAAACACCTGAAAACATTCAAGCACAGGGAGACTAAATAGTATGTTATTAAACACTGAATGGGTTACCAATGAATTCAAGAAAGAAATAAAAAACTTCCTGGAAACAAATGAAAATGAACATACAACAACCCAAAATGTACGGGACACACAATGCAGTTCTGAGGAGGAAGTTCATAGCATGTACAGGCCTACCTCAAGAAAAAAAGAAAAATTTCTATCAAACTATCTAACCCTACAACTTAAAGAACTAGAAAGTGCACAAAAAGAAAAGCCCAGGGTAAATAAAAGGAAGGAAATAATAAATACTAGAGCAGAAATAAATGACATAGAGACTGAAAAACAATACAAAAGATCAATTAAACTAAGAGGTGATTCTTTGACAGGATAAACAAAATTGATAAACCATTAGCCAGACTCATCAAGAATCAAAGAGAGAGGACCAAGTAAATAAAATCAGAAATGAAAGAGGTGAAATAACAACTGATACCACAGAAATACAAAGGATTATAAGAAAATAGTATGAACAACTAGCCAACAAGCTGAACAATGTGGATGAAATGAACAAATTCCTAGAAAAATACCATCTTCCAAAACTGGATCAGGAGGAAGCAGAAAACCTGAATAGGATAATAATAACTGATATAATTGAAGCAATAATTAAAAAATAGAAAATTCCCAACAAGCAAAAGTCCTTGTCCCAATGGCTTCACAAGGGAGTTTTACCAAGCATTCAAAGAAAAACTAACACCTATCCTCCTCCAACTATTCTAAGAAATATAAGAGGAAGAAACACTTCCAAGCTCTTTCTACAAAAGCCAGCATTATTCTATTTCCAAAACCACTACAACAAAAGAGAATTACAGGCCAGTATCACAGATGAGCATAAATGCTGAAATCCTCAACAAAAAAATTAGCAAATCGGATCCAGCATTACATTAGAGAGATCATACACCATGACCAAGTGGGATTTATTTCAGGGATGCAAGGCTGGTACAATATTTGCAAATCAATAAATGTGATATACCACATAAACAAATCAAAAGACAAAAATCATATGATCAGTAGACCCAGAAAAAACTTTTGACAAAATCCAGCACCCATTTTTGATAAAAAAAAACTCTCAGCAAAGTGGGAAGTGAAGGATCATACCTTAACATAATAAAAGCCTTACCAGTATATGACAAACCTATAGCTAACATCATACTCAATGGGCAAAACCCAAAACTATTTCTCCTAAGAGCAGGAACAAAACAGGGTTGTCCACTTTCACCACTTTTTAAATTGTTAAAAATATGTTTATATTGATTTCAGAGAGAGGAAGTTAGAGGAATGGAGATGTAGAAACATCAATGATGAGAGAAAATCATTGATTGGCTGCCTCCTGCATGCCCACAACCTGGAGGCTGTGCCCTGACTTGGAATCAAACTGTGACCTCCTGGTTCATGGGTTAACGCTCAACTGCCAAGCCTCACCAGCTGGGCTACTTTCACCTCTCTTAATCAACATAGTACCTGAAATCCTAGCCACAGTGATTAGACAAGGAGAGAAAATAAAAGGCAATCAAACTGGAAAGGAGGATGTAAAACTGTCATTATTCTCAGATGACATGATATTGTACATAGAAAAGCCAAACGACTCCGCCAAAACACTATTAGGTTAAATAAATGAATTTGGCAATGTAACAGGATACAAAATTATCACCCAGAATTTGATGGCATTTTTATACACCAATAAAAAAGAAAGAAACTAAAAACCCAATCCCATTTACCATTATAACAAAAAAAATTAAGATACCTAAAAATAAACTTAATCAAGGAGGTAAAAGACCTTTACTTGGAAAAATACAGAACGTTGAAAAAAGAAATAGAAAAAGATATAAACAAGTGGAAGAATATATCATGTTCATGGATTGATAGAATTAATATCATTTAAATGTCCATACTACCCAAAGCAATCTATAGAATCAATGCAATCCCTATCAAAATATCAATGGCATATTTCACATATCTAGAATAAACACTCCAAAAATTTATATGGAACCAAAAAAAGACCCAGAATAGCTTAAGCAATCTTGAAAAAGAAGAACAAAGTTGCAGGGACCACAATACCAGATATCAAGTTATACTACAAAGCCACTGTAATCAGAACAGCCTTGTACTGGCACAAGAACAGGTAAATAGATCAATGGAACAGAACAGAGATCCCAGAAATCGACCCAAGCCATTATGCTCTATTAATATTTGACAAAGGAGGCAAGGACATACAATGGAGTAAAGACAGTCTCTTCAATAAGTGGTGTTGGGAATATAGGACCGATACATGCCAAAAAAATATAATAAAGAAACTAGACCACCAAATTATACCATACACAAGAATAAACTAAAAATGGGTAAAAGACTTAAATGTAAGTCTGGAAACCATAAAAATCCTAGAAGAAAACATAGGCAGCAAAATATCAGACATCTCATGTAGCAGAATTTTCACTGATACAATTTCTAGGGCAAGAGAAACAAAGGAAAATACAAACAAATGGAACCATATCCAAAAAAAAGCTTTTGCACAGCAAAAGAAATCAGCATCAAAATGAAAAGGGTACCCACTGTAGGGGAGAACATATGTGCTAATGATACATCTGATAAGGGGTTATTTTCCAAAATATATAATCTACTCATACAACTTAACAAAAGGAAGACAAACAATCCAATAAAAAAAAATGGGCAGACGACCTGAATATATACTTCTCCAGAAAGGCTACATGGCTAAGAAACATGTAAAAAAGTTCTCAACGTCACTAATTATCAGAGAGATGTAAATTAAAATGATAATGAGGTACCACTTCAAGCTGGCCAAGATGGCTACCACTAATAAATCATTGAACAACAAATGCTAGCAAGGATGTGGAGAAAAAGGAACCCTAGTTCACTGCTGGTAGGAATGCAAACTGTAACCACTATGGATAATAGGGTGGAGTTTCCCCAAAAAAACTAAAAATGGAACTGCTATTTGATCCAGCGATCCCACTTCTAGAAATACATCCTAAGAAATAGCAATCAGAAAGAAGATATGCACCCTATGTTCATAGTAGCACAATTTACAATAGCTAAGATCTGGAAACGGCCCAAGTGCCCAACAGTAGATGAATGGGTTTAAAAACTGTGGTACATTTAGACAATGGAATACTATGCAGCTGTGAAAAAGAAGCATCTCTTACCCTTAGAGATCTGAAGAGTATTATGCTAAGTAAAACAAGGAGTCAGAGAAAGACAAGTATCACATGATCTCACTTACTACTATATGTGGAATCTAATGAACAAAATAAACTGATGAACAAAAAAGATCCAGAGACATTGAAGCACAGAGCAGACCAAAGTATTTCAGAGGCAAGGGAGGTAAGAAAAGACTAACCACTTAACTTATATGCATATATGCATAGCCCATGGACAGACAATAGTGCAGGGAAGATTTGGGGAGGGGGCAGGAGCAGGGTGGAGTGGGTCAGTGGGGGAAGTGGAAGGGATACCTATAATAATTTCAACAATAAGATAAATTTTTTTAAAATGTTAAGTGTCATTTTATTTAAGCTTCTCTTTGTGCGACCCTCCACCCCACATAAGTGGCACACAGGACTCTTAATTTTGCAAAGGAGGACCCTTAGCTGCCCGCAGGGATGGGTTCTCACCATTACTGGCCAGGGTGAGCAAAACCACCCCAGCAAATACAAACCCTGCCCTCCTCCTTTCCATCATAGAGATAAGTGCCCAACCTCCCTTCCCCTGCACTGGGTAAACACTGCAGGAAAATAGAGCTACTTTCAGGAATCATGCATCCTGAGAGAGTCAATGATTAGAGGTGATACAGCTCACTATTGGCTAATGAGCTGGAGATGAGAAGGGATACACCTCTTCCCACCTTTCCACAAGCATCAATTAATTGTAGCCCATCTATCCTAACTTCCTACTGATTCATTTGCCCTTGAAATCAGAGGAAAATGAGCTTAATGAAAAAATGACTAATACTGACTAGTCCTTGCTACACATACCTATTAGTTGGAACCAAAGTAAGGCAGATAATTTATTCCACCACCTGGACAAGTTCAGAGTAAGCATACCCTCTGCAGATCGGCTGCATCACAGAGAAAAGATATCCCACAGCCACAAACCACATCCCTCGATAGTTTACCGTTAGAGAAAACAGACCCCAAGTGAATTTCCTATTAGTAGCAGGTGAGCTGCACCATTTCGTAATAAGAGCTCCTGGGTGAAACAGACATAAGCAGAGAACATGCTTTATTGAGTAGATATAGAACAGCACATTCTACCGCATGTGGGGAAGGGTTAGCTTCAGTAAAAGGCCTTTACCCTTTAAGAAAACCCCCAGTGAAGTTGCTTTTGGATAAATTTTAACAGTGACACTGAAACTGGCAGGGAGCTGCCACTGAACATGCTTAAAATGAGCTCCCCACAACACACAGTGAATATTAAGTAGTGTACAGAGATGACAAGAGAAAGGCACAAATGACCAGAGTTGGGATTGTGATGAGGGCTCCGTAAGAAGACAGCAGTGTTATAGGCGATCAAGTTGGGAAGGGTGACATGTCACACATCAAAAGCTGCCAGTGAAAGGATACTTGTAGTGAATGCCATGGAACACAGGCAGACCTACAGGAACACGCGGAAACCTCTCTTGGAAAACCTGACGAGCGAGTATGACTTAGATCTTTTCCGAAGAGCACAAGCCCGGGCTTCAGAGGACTTGGAGAAGTTAAGGCTGCAAGGCCAAATCACAGAGGGGAGCAACATGATTAAAACAATAGCTTTTGGTCGCTCTGAGCTTGATACTTGGTACCATTCTCCCTATCCTGAAGAATATGCACGACTGGGACGGCTCTATATGTGTGAATTCTGTTTAAAGTACATGAAGAGCCAAAGGATACTCCGCCGACACATGGCCAAGTGTGTGTGGAAACACCCACCTGGTGATGAGATAGATCGCAAAGGTTCAAGTGATGGCAAGAAAAACAAGATCTATTGCCAAAACCTGTGCCTGTTGGCCAAGCTTTTCCTGGACCACAAAACATTATATTATGATGTGGAGTCCTTCCTGTTCTATGTCATGACAGAAGCAGACAACACTGGCTGTCACCTGATTGGGTATTTTTCCAAGGAGAAGAATTCATTCCTCAACTACAATGTTTCCTGTATCCTTACTATGCCGCAGTACATGAGGCAGGGCTATGGCAAGATGCTCATTGATTTCAGTTATTTGCTTTCCAAAGTGGAAGAAAAAGTTGGCTCCCCAGAACGTCCCCTCTCAGATCTGGGGCTCATAAGCTATCGCAGTTACTGGAAAGAAGTGCTTCTTCGTTACCTGCATAATTTCCAAGGCAAAGAGATTTCTATCAAAGAAATTAGCCAGGAGACAGCTGTGAATCCTGTGGACATTGTCAGCACTCTGCAAGCACTTCAGATGCTCAAGTATTGGAAAGGAAAACATGTAGTTTTAAAGAGACAGGACCTGATTGATGAATGGATAGCCAAAGAGGCCAAGAGATCCAATTCCAATAAAACCATGGATCCCAGCTGTTTAAAATGGACCCCTCCCAAGGGCACTTAAAGTGACCTGTTACCTGAGCCAGCGAACCCCAGCAGTAGGAATCCGTACCCTAGGGATCTGTCTGTCATTTCTGTTGCTCTTGTGATTGGCAAGTACAGTATCCTTTGGGAAGGCCATCCCCCTCAGGACTGTCCTGGCTCTGACCCTCATGTACACTGCAGACGCTGGTTCTGAGGAACTGTTGTTTCGGCCTCAATGAGGTTGCCCGGATGGGATCTATATTAGACTTGAGCACAGGTCCCTCATAGCACTGACCCAAGGTGTTCTGTTTGGTCCTGTCCCTGTCCAGTCACCGGTTCTCTCATGCTCTCTAGCCCCATGAGGTTGTGTTGTGTCTTCTAAACTTGTAATAGTGCTTCTTGCCGCCAGACCTCCAAATATAGTTGCCACTGCCGGGACCTTTCCAATTATTCCTTACATGTGTGTTTTGGGCGTGCAGGGAAGAGGTAACACTTCAGCGTGTGTGTGCTGGGAGGGGTCCATTCCTTTTGGGTTTCATCTCATTTTAAATATTTTCCTCCATTTTTATGGAAAGATACATTTTTTTTAAAAAAAGAAGATATATCAAGGAATACTTCACCTGTCACATGTGCCGATCACCCAACATAATCCTGGAAAAAGACACCCGACTCTTTTTTACAGTGTGAAACTTGTCATTCTCCATGCTCTGTTGCCAGCATCAAAACCTGCTTCCAGGCTGTCACTGGCAAGTGAGCACAGCTCCATGCCAAAGCTCACTAACTTGCTAATCACCACTGATTTTGCAAAGTGTGTGGTGGAAATTTGACTGAACCAGTTTAACACCAGAGTGGGTATACCATTGTATTAAAAACAAGATAGAAAAGCTGCCAAGCTCTTTGGTGTGTGGCTGATTAGTGTGAAATCCTCGAAAGATACCGATGCTCAAGCTGTTGACATACTCATGGCCTACTTTAACAATTATCAGACACACATGATGGAGTAAGGCAGTGCTTTTTAAAAATCATTCATAGACTTCTGAAAAATGCAAAATAAAATTATTATAACAGTGAAAAAGTAATTTGACTCTTGTATATATCAATTAGCCTATGGTAAAATTGGTTTCATTAAACGTCATTTTGCTTAAAGTTGCAGATCCTATTGACTGTGTTAAGTGAGGACTTACTGTACAAATGTTGAAGGGGAAATACTCATACCATGATTGCTATTTAGTCAGGAATACAGATCAATTTCCTAAGAAAGACAAAAATTTTAGACTCCAGGAGTATAGATAGAAGTCCAGCAGAGGCACTCCATCCACTAGACTTTCTACTGATTCATCATCCCCTTAGTCTCTCCCAACTCTCACCTTGATAGACACTCTCCCTTATGCACTGTAAAATTATTATATCCATCTTGAGAAATCTGGATCCAAACATTAATTGAAATTCTACTAGGTATATAAATGTAATATGCTACAATATAATGAATGGAAAAAGTTATAACTTAGAGATGATATTTAGATAGAGGCTTTGAATCTTTATAAAGTATATTAAGTAATCATATTTCTATAAGGCAAAGCTGAAGGGGAGAGAGGTGGCTTCAGCATATCAGATGTATATAGGAGCTCCAAACATGAGAAGAAGAAAAAAAAATCCTTAAAAGCAAAAAAGGTTTTCTTAATCATTTTTGTGAGTTGATTAGGTAAGAATAATTAAAGTTACATAAAGGTTAATGAAGCACTAGCCAGGGAGCGTTGGCAGCTAATCACTCAAGGTTTAGGGAAAGGTTCTATATTTTATTCAAATGCTGCCTTATCTGTGAGTACCTACCATACTTCTACTTTTATATGATGTATACTGTAAGACAAGACTAAAGTAAGGAAAATCCCAATGTCAGTGGTCAGGAAGTTAGCAATATGTGGTGGTCTTGAGAAGGTAAACTGTCTTTTGCTATTCCTCACTACAATAGGATAGGGAAAAGGAAATGTGCCAAAATTCCTTGTGCAAAAAAGATACTCTATTTACATCCATGACTAGTCTAGAAAGATGTCTCACTGACACCATAGGCAAAAGAACCTGTGAGTAAAATGAGTTTCATTGTTAAACAGGACTGGCTGTCTGCCAGGATCAGCAAAGTGAAGTAAAGGTGTGGTCAGTAAAATGGAGAAAAGACAGAGAGGGCTGGGAAGAGAAAAACAACAGTACGGTGATGACCAAAGGGAAGGGGGATGGGGGAGGTAGAAAAAGGTATAGCGGAGATAAATGGTGATGTAAAGAGACTTGACTTTGGATGGTGAACACACAATAGAATATACAGATGATGTATTATAGAATTGTACACCTAAAAACCTATATAATTTTATTAACTGATGTCACCCCAATAAATTCAATAAAAATTCTATTTAAAGAAATGAAAAAGAAAAACAGCAGTTACAGAAGAATGGTCTCTTGCTCCACTAATGACTAAGAGTGGAAAGTAAGATATTGAGCAGCCATATTCTATGAGATGTGTGGCTTTGGGAAAAGTTTTGACTCCTCTGAGCCTCAGTTTCTTATGAGAAAAAAAGAGATGCCCTTACCTTAACCAAATAGTATTCCTTTAAGGATTATTTATGGTCCTCTGTGACAGCACAGCCTCTATAAATGCAAGATACTTTTGTTCCATCTGGAACCTGTGAAGTACTTCCAATAATTTCTGTAACTGCAAAGGAGGGAAGCAGATCATTCTGATGTAGATCTTCCCTCCTTCCCACACCCTCCACGCATCCACAGAAACATATACAGAACTATGCCTGGGGTGGAAGTAGTTACCAGTCACACAAACCATAAACATTGCAGAGGCACATGGTGCCCAGGTTTGGTTCTGGCACTTTCTATCCATGTGATATCTTCTGCTTTTTGTACTGTGTTCATATCATGACTTAGAGCAGTCTACAGGTGACTAAAAAGTAACTGGAGGTTTGGGGGTTGTTTACCTGGAAAGCATGGATATAAGAGAGGCCCAAGAGAGAAGAGATGAAAACAGAACTCCTTGAGAAAGAAATATTTTCACAACAATATTAGCAAGATTCCATGTAGAACCCTGCTTCCATCCTCTGCACCCATTTTTCCTTTCTTAATGTCTCATACACCCCTGACATCTGGGCAATAGAAGCTAATGGAAACTGTATCTGGAGACTTTGTGCTTATGGGAGTTTGCTTGCTTACATGCTGGTTAACATCCTCTGAGGGAGACCAGAGATATTGACAATTTGAAAGCAATTGTAAATGTATTAGAAATTAACCCATTTTCTTTCAAATAAATGCTTTTTCTGTAAAGCAGTAGTGGGAAACATCCAGCCTGTGAAATCATTTGGTCTGGCTTTGCCAAGGCATTATCGTTGAGTTAATTCAATGTTTGACAAAATACAGTAGGCTATTTTTTTTAATCTTTATTGCTGAGATATTATAGGTGTTCTCCCCCCCCCCCATTGCCCACCTCCACCCAGTTCCTACCCCGCCCCAGGCCTTCACCACCCTATTGTCTGTGTCCACAGGTAATGAATATATTCCTATAAGATCTTTGATTAATCCCTGCCTCCCGCTTTTCTCTGAGATTCGTCAGCCTGTTCCATGTTTCCATGCCTCTGATTCTATTTTATTCATCAGTTTATTTTGTTCATTAGACTCCTTATTCATTTATTTTTATTTTTAGACTCAATTGTTGATAGATATGTATTTATTGCCATTTTATTGTTCATGTTTTCCCATCTTTTTCTCTTCCTCTTCCTCCTCCTCCTCCTCCTCTACTTCCTTCTTCCTCCTGGTTTTTTTAAAGTATACCCTTCAGCATTTTAAGTAATAATGGTTTGGTGATGATGAACTGCTTTAGCTTTTTCTTGTCTGTGAAGCTCTTTATCTAACCTTCAATTCTAAATAATAGCTTTTCTGGGTAATCTTGGTTGTATGTCCTTGCTATTCATCACTTTGAGTATTTCTTACCATTCCCTTCTGGCCTGAAAAATTTCTGTTAAGAAATCAGCTGGCAGTTATATGGGTGCCCCCTTGTAGGTAACTAACTGCTTTTCTCTTGCTGCTTTTAAGATTTTCTCTTTGGCCGAAACCGGTTTGGCTCAGTGGATAGAGCGTCAGCCTGTGGACTGAAAGGTCCCAGGTTCGATTGTGGTCAAGGGCATGTACCTGGGTTGTGGGCACATCCCCAGTAGGAGATGTGCAGGAGGCAGCTGATCGATGTTTCTTTCTCATCGATGTTTCTAACTCTCTATCTCTCTCCCTTCCTCTCTGTAAAAAATCAATAAAATATATTTAAAAAAAAAAAAGATTTTCTCTTTGTCTTTAACCCTTGGCATTTTAATTATGATGTGTCTTGGTGTGGGCTTCTTTGGGTTCCTCTTGTTTGGGACCCTTTAAGCTTCTTGGACTTGTAAGTCTATTTCATTCACAGGTAAGGGAACTTTATTGTCATTATTTCTTCAAATAGGTTTTCAATATCTTGCTCTCTCTCTCCTCCTTCTGGCACCCCCATAATGTGAATGTTGGTATGCTTGAAGTTGTCCCAGAGCAGTGATGGTGAACCTATGACACGCGTGTCAGAGGTGACACGCGGACTCATTTTTTTGGTTGATTTTTCTTTTTTAAATGGCATTTAACTATATAAAATAAATATCAAAAATATAAGTCTTTGTTTTACTATCAAAATATCAAATATTTTTTGATATTGCAAATATCAAAAAATTTCTATATGTGACATGGCACCAGAGTTAAGTTAGGGTTTTTCAAAATGCTGTCACGCCGAGCTCAAAAGGTTCGCCATCACTGTCCCAGAGGCTCCTTACACTATCTTCATATTTTTTAATGTTTTTTTCTTTTTGCTCTTCTAAGTGGGTGTTTTTGCTTTATCATATTCCAAATTGTTGATTTTGTTCTCAGAATCCTCTACTGTTGAATCACTGTAAATAATTATTTTAAAAAAAATATTTTTTTATTGATTTCAGAGAGGAAAGGAAAGGGAGAGAGAGATAGAAACATCAATAATGAGAGAGAATCATTGATTGGCTGCCTCTTGCATGCCCCCTACTAGGGATCGAGCCTGCAACCCAGGCATG